AAGATTTTAACATTAAATATGTGGAGTTCCAACGAGTCCTAACATCATTTTCAATTTTCTCTTTTGTAACCCTTTTTGCTTACACATACTATGGTATTGTTGTAAACTTGAAGGAGATGATGAAATAAATGTAATTGCATGCCTAATTAAAGATATTTCATTTTCAATTGATTTTATTCCATCTTGTGCAATTAAATTTATTATGTGACAAACACTTCTAATATGAAATAATTGACCTTCATAAGGTGGATTTAATTGTTTTGACAAAAAATCAATAACTCTATCATTTGATGATGCATTATCAAATGTGAGAGAAATTTTTTTATCTTTTATTTCATATTCACTAAAAATTTTAGTTAATTCTTCATAAATAGTCACGCCAGTATGTGGATATTCTAATACACGAATGTCAGAATTTGTTTCTTTTTTTCAATTGCCAATCTGAATTAATAAAATGACCTTTGCACAAATATATCATAATCTTGATTAGTGGCGCGTTCATAAATCAGAACTAAATGAAATAACTCCATTAAATTTACTAAGTGATTTTTAATATTTGTTTTCATTTCATTGTAAATTCTAAAAATACAGCTCTTAAAGTTTTCTTAGGAACTCTCTTAAAAACAGGTTGTACACTTTGCATATACCATTCTAAAATTGGATTATCACCATATGAAAAAGGTTGATCGGTTGCGACAACATACCTGGCCATATAGTCTCTCATGTTTTTTGACTATATGTGAAGCTAGAAATCTCACCCATTATACTATTTGATTGACTACTAGTTGATAACATATCAATGCAACAAATGCCCTTGTAAATGAAATTCATTGGTGCCCTTTTAATGTTGTGACATTTTTTTTGCAATGTTCCTTTATATGCCTCTGAAGATGCCTAGTGCCACTTGTCTTGAACCAGCCAAATAGAACCACATATTTGCACACTGCACATTGCACGATTTCACCATGAATTGTTCTTTGTTTTGAATAAAATCTCTCCAAACAATTGATTTTTGCTTTCTTTTCTTTTCTGGGGGGTGGTTGTGATAGATTTTGTGGTGGTGACTCAATCAAAAGAATTAATTCATTTGAATTTTGATCCACTTGAAATTCGCTAAAAATCAAAATAAATTCATGAAAAAATATTGAAATTGAAGAGATTATGAGCTTGAGAGTTGAGAGAGAGAGAGAGTAAGATTGGAATTGAGTGCGAAAAAATTAGAGAAATTTGGTATTATAGGAAAAATCAAAATATATATATGAAATAGCCGTTACCCACCTGCACAGGGGTAACGGCTATTTTAAAATAGTTGTTATCCCCTTGGATGGGCTTCTTTTAAGCCCCGACACGGCCCGCATATTTTCATGTCGGACCGTGCCGTGCTTTTCTTTTTGTGCAATGCCTTATTTTGTCATGTTTTTTTCGTGCTAAGTCTGCTGTGCCGTGGGCTGACACGGCCCATTGTCACTCTAATCACAATCATATGATTGTATCCAAAGGTAATAAAGAAACACTCTTAGTTATCCAAAAATCTATAAAACCCCTAAGTTTAAAAACTTCCACAAAATACAACTAGAGTATATTCCATAGGTCTATTCTAACATTCCACCACACAAGAGCCACTGAGTTTACTTAAAACTAGAGCTGGGCATTTGGGACCAAGCCCAAAGCTAGCATCAAACCCGGTCCTAGGAGGTCTGGTCCCAAACAAGACCAGGCCTAAGGAAGAGGGCCCAGACCCTCCACTGGGCCTTCCTCCAAGGCCCGGGCCTGGGTTCAAAATTTTTTCGTATTTATCATTTTAGTCCTTTGTAAAATTCATTAAGCCCATTAAATAAGTATAATTATAAGGGTTAAATAAATTGTACGAAATTTATTAAAAAAAAAAAAATTTAACCTTTTATAACCGTTGGCTGCCAATGGTCACAAGAGCAGCCACAGTTATAACTTATAATTATTTATATTATAGTTTTTTTTATTCCCCCCCCCCCCCTCCACTACACTACACTATAAATACCCTAAAACCTTTCATTTTTTTCACACCAATCATCTCTCATTCTTTCATTCTCTCAATCTCTCTACTCCAAATCTCCAATCAATTCTCATTCAATTTATATTTAATTTTTCATTTATTTATTTATATTATTTAATTTTTTTCTATTTTTCAATATCATAATTTCCTATTATTATTTAATTTCTTTTCATTTAATTATTTATTATTTTATCATAAATTTATAATGTCTTCCCCAAATGGTTTTACGTCCATCCACCGAAGAAATGAAGCCTTCAATCCATTTTCACCATTCCTCCAGAGGAAGCAGTTGTAATTCCACACCCATTCGGTCGGGACGAGGTGTAGCAAAACATATGCGAGCTGCGAGTCAACGGGCACGGACATAGCCCAACCCCCCTGACCATCAAAGAGGGTCGTGTCTGATGTCTGCTATACTTTACCAAATCAAAATGGCCAAAGACAATGGGGAGGGGGAGAATCTGTGGGATATGTAATTTATGTGGAACCATTATTGGCCTGAGAAGAGGACTTCGACGATGCGAGACACGTAGAGAAGAAGCATCCCCAAATAAATGCATCTTCAAGCGGATCGGTAACAAATTCAAACTCAACTTAATTTTAATCCACAATCCTCAACTCTCTCAACATGGCAATACAAGACACTGTTGCACGAGAGGAATAGCAAGATATAGTTGCTACGGATCCTCCCATTTGTTTTCTGAAAATCTTTTTTTTGTTAATAGGTTAAAACTGCTTTTGTCCACATATCCCCTGTTAGTAGAAGTACAGTAGAAGAGTATACTAAAACTTTAAACATAAATAATAAACTTAAAAACGAATTTCAAATTTTAGGAATATATCTATTGCACTTACATTAATATAGGGCTTGTAGATCAAAAACCGATTTTTTAATTGTTACAGTACATTTCTTATCATAATTTGGGTTCACAACAAAAATTGATAGGTTTTAAACCATATATGAAAAACATAGTGCTGAAACTATTTATTTTACAATTCTTGAAGTTTTGCAAGAATATTTATTAACTGATAGAGTTTAGCGCTAACGCTTGATAATGCAGCTGCTAACACCGCAGCAATCTCTTTATTTGAAAAGAAATTGATCCGCTTGGTGAAAACAAATTTTATCACCAGAAATGTGCTTGTCACATCATTAATTGATAGTTAAAGCAGGTTTAGATGCTATATATTCAAAGATGGAGAGGTACGTAAGCTACCGGATTTATCGTCGGCGGTAGCAATAAATGGCAGGAGTACGTCAAATATTGTAAGCAAGAGAAGCCACCGGTTCGACCTTTGAAGTTATGTACAAACATGCTTATCCGTTGGAACTCTGCCTACTTGATGTTGGAAAAAGCTTTACAACTCGACAACAAATTACAGATTTCGTCAACCGAACTATCAAGGAATTGTCAACTATGATGTTGGGCGGTTTGTGACTTTTTTATTCATTTCTTAAAAATTTTTATGATGCTACAATACATTAAGTGGTATTTATTATCCAACTACTAATTTAGTGTTAGATATTTTAGTTCAAATTGCTAAAACTTTTGCTCAATTAGATATGATAACATTTTAAGTGAAATTGTTTCAAGTATGGAAGAAAAATATAAGAGATATTGGTTAGATATTCCATCTTATATGGATTAGACCTTTTTCTAGATCCTGGTTTAAATTATCCGTAGTTAACGGTGTAATTATTGAGTTAGGCCATTATTTAGGACATGATTATACGCTTATTTGACTGACTTTAAACACAAATTAGATAGGCTTTTTCTTAATATGAGAATAGTACAATGAAATGGAAGTGGAACTGAAACTGGAACGTCTAGGAGAGGCGATCAGGACCTTGATGCAGCCCCCCTCAGAATCGAGCAAGTGGGCGTATGTGAACGTGGCGGAAGCTCCAACTCCAGCTCATACATACATGACCAAATGAGATGACTTCTACCTACTACTGGTGGACCTGGCCTTTATGACGATGAAGGGCAACTTACATGAATATTCTTCAATGGTGGAACCAACATGAAAGTCGATTCCCCATTATATCCCAAATGGCACGTGACATTTTATTTGTGCCGGTTTCTATAATTGCATCCGAGTCAACATTTTCAACGAGTGGTCGGATTGTTGAGATAATATTTTCTTTAACCGATGAGATGATTGAAGTGATAACTGTTTACGGGATTGGACTCATGCAGAAAGAAGACTACAACACCCTGAAGATCCCGAACTACTCGAACTCTTTAGGAATACATTTGATAATGTAACTATTGTTGACGATGAAATTGAAGATGAATAATTTAATAAAAAAATATTATATGTTTATTTGTGAAGCGTGAATGTGTGAAATGTGATATTACATTTATGTTAAAAATTAAAATTAACTATTAATTTATTATTTTTTAAATAATTAAATTTTTTCAGAACTTACTAATCAACCCCTAAAAAATACTAAAAAACCCCCTATAAATTTTGTTTTGCCTCCAAAATATAAAATTGAGGGGGGAAAAAAAATTATTCAAGCCCCATGGACCCGTCCTAGGACCGGTCCTAGGCCCATGGGACCAGTCCCGACTGGCCTAAGGCCTGGTCCGTCTTGTTTTCTCATGGCCTGGCCAGCCCAGGCCTGGGCTCACAAGGGACCGATCCCTCCCCCCACCTCTACTAAAACACACACATGTAGGTTTAAGTTGAGAAGGTGTTGGGGTGGTGGAGATCCATTGAGACTTGACTGGTTGAAAAGTAAACGCCACTCTTTTGTTTACCTTAAAAATCTGTGTTAAATAAAACTAGTATTTAGCCTTGTGTCAATAGGTTGATATTGGATGCAGTCTCAACAAATTTGACATCCGAGCGACTAAAGAAAAAACCTCAAGCTGCACTAGATTTACGACTTTATGAATCAGAGTATTTAACCGTAAACCCACAAATGACTAGCCAGTTTGAACCCTAGATAATCCACACGCCGCTAACTGGCCTCCAAAACCTTTCTTCGTCGTTTTTTTTTCTTTCTGAAACCAAAATTTCATCTTCATTCACAAATTCATGTAAAGTGACTACAACCTACCACAAGATTCAGTATATAACGCTGAAGATGTAGCGAGGCTTGATGTATTCCTTCGAAAAGACTGTAAACAAGGTAATATCACTCTGGCTGACGCACGCTATTTTTTAGTTTAATGATTCATATGCAACCCAAACCACCGATTCATCATTCAACGGTGTTTTGGAGCTCTTGCTAAGAAGAAGTTTTATGAAGACGTTATTTTGCTTTACAAACGACTGGATTCATGGGTTGATGCCAGATTTAATTACATTAAATATTTTGATTCATGTTTTTGTAATGTGGGTCGAGTTCGTGATGGTCTTGTTGTTTTTTGGGAGATTTTGAGGTGGGTTTTAACCCATGCTGTGACTTTTAATTCTCTGATTAAAGGTTTGTATTTGGAGAATAGGAGTTCGGAGGCTATGGAGTTGTTGGAATTGATGAGTCAAAGAGGTTTACGCCTGATGTGGTGACTTTTAATACAATGATAAGCGGGCTTTGCAAGAGGGGAAGACAGAGGAAGCAAATGGTTGTTGGAGTTGATGGGTCAAGAGGTTTGCAGCCTGATGTGGTAACATTTAATACAATGGTAAATGGGCTTTGCAGGGAAGGGAGATGGAGGAAGCTAATGGGTTGTTGGAATTGATGAGTCAAAGGGGTTTGCAGCCTGATGTGGTGACGTTTAACACAATGGTAATAGGCTTTGCAAGGAGGGAAGACGGAGGAAGCTAATGGGTTGTTGGAATTGATGAGTCAAAGAGGTCTGCAGCCTGACGTGGTGACTTTTAATATAATGTAAGCGTGCATTGCAAGGTGGGGAAGACGGGGAAGCTTATGGTTTTTTGAATTGATGATTCAAAGAGTTTTGCAGCCTAATGTGGTTACGTTTACTACAATGATAAAAGGGCTTTGCAAGGGAAATGGAGGAAGCTAATGGGTTGATGGAAATGATGATTCAAAGAGGTTTGCAGCCGAATGTGGTGACTTTTAATTTAATGATAAATGCTTTGCAAGAAGGGCAAGATGGAGGAAGCTAATGGGCTGTTGGAATGATGAATCAAAGAGGTTTGCAGCCTAATGTTGTACATTTACTCACATGATAAATCGGCTTTGCAGGAGGGGGAGGACGGAAGCTAATGGGTTGTTGGAATATATGATTCAAAGAGGTTTGCAGCCTAATGTTGTGACTTTTAATACAATGTTAAATTGGCTTTGCAAAGAGGGGAGATGAGGAAGCTAATGGGTTGTTAATTGATGAGCCAAAGAGGTTTGCAGCCTAATGTGGTGACATATACCACAATGATAAGTGAGTTTTGCAACGAGGCAAGATGGAGGAAGCTAATGGGTTGTTGGATTGATGATTCAAGAGTTTGCAGCCTAATGTGGTGACTTTTAATTCATGATAAATGGGTTTTGCAAGGAAGGAAGACGGAGGAAGCTAATGGGTTGTTGGAATTGATGAATCAAAGTGGTTTGCAGCCTGATGTGGTGACTTTTATTCAATGATAATGGGCTTTGCAAGGAGGGAAGACGGAGGAAGCTATGGGTTGTTGAATTGAGAATCAAAGAGGTTTGCAGCCTGAGTCATGACTTTTAATTCAATGATAAATGGGCTTTGCAAAGAGGGGAAGACGGGAAGCTAATGGGTTGTTGGAATTATAATCAAAAAGGTTTGCAGCCTAATTTTGTGACTATACTACAATGATAAATGGGCTTTGCGGAGGGGAGGACGGAGGAAGCTAATGGGTTTGTGGAATTGATGATTCAAAGAGGTTTGCAGCCTAAGTGGTGACTTTAATTCAATGAAAATGGGCTTTGCAAGGAAGGGAAGACGGAGGAAGCTAATGGTTTGTGGAATTGATGAATCAGTGGTTTGCAGCCTGATGTGGTGACTTTTAATTCATGATAAATGGGCTTTGCAAGGAGGGGAAGATGGAGGAAGCTAATGGGTTGTTGGAATTGATGAGTCGAAGAGGTTTGGAGCCTATGTGGTGACTTTTACTACAATGATAAATGGGCTTTGCAAGGAGGGGAAGATGAGGAAGCTAATGGGTTGTTGGAATGATGAGTCAAGAGGTTTGGAGCCTAATGTGGTGTCTTTTACTTCAATATAAATGGGCTTTGCAAGAGGGAAATGGAGAAGCTAATCGGTTGTTGGAATTGATGATTCAAAGAGGTTTGCAGCCTAATGTGGTGACGTTTAATACAATATAAGGTTTTGCAAGGATAGGAAGACGGAAGCTAATGGTGTTGTTGAATTGATGATCAAAGAGGTCTGCAGCCTGATGTGGTGACTTTTAATACAATATAAACGGCTTTCAAGGAGGGAAGACAAGGAAGCAAATGGGTTTTGGAATTGATGGGTCAAAGAGGGTGTCAGCCTATGTGGTAACATTTAATACAATGGTAAATGGGCTTTGCAGTGAAGGGAAGATGGAGGAAGCTAATGGGTTGTTGGAATCATGAGTCAAAGAGGTCTGCAGCCTGATGTGGTGACTTTTAATACAATGATTAGCGTGCATTGCAGGGAGGGGAAGACGGGGAAGCTTATGGGTTTTTTGAATTGATGATTCAAAGAGGTTTGCAGCCTAATGTGGTTACGTTTACTACAATGATAAAGGCTTTGCAAGGAGGGGAAGATGGAGGAAGTAATAGGTTGATGGAAATGATGATTCAAAGGGTTTGCAGCCTAATGTTGTGACTTTTAATACATAATAAATTGGCTTTGCAAGGAGGGAGGATGGGACTAATGGGTTTTGGAATTGAGTGACCAAAGAGTTTGCAGCCTGATGTGGTGACATATACCACAATGATAAGTGACTTGCAGGAAGGCAAGATGGGGAAGCTAATGGGTTGTTGGAATTCATGAGTCAGAGAGGTTTGCAGCCTGATGTGGTGACGTATACCGCAATGACAAGTTGGCTTTGCAAGGAGGGCAAGATTGAGGAAGCTAATGGGTTGGTGGAATTAATGAGTCAAAGAGTTTGCAGGCTTCAGCCTATGATCTGATCTTCTAGTCTTGACCTTTGTAGTACCCATAGGCCGATTTGGTGTCTTTATATGTTCCATCCTGCGATCATAAGTCTTGACATATATAACCCTTTATATTATTTTTAAGTTTTTTTTTCTTATTTCAGTTTGTTATCGGTCAGCTGATCTTATTCCTCATTATTTTAGCTCTTATTTTTGCAATGAGCCTGGATATTCTGAAGTATAATGCCATGAGGTAGAATGACGCTTGATAGTTTTGCAAATATCTGCCGCCAGGTGTTTAACCCTGAAGGAAAATTTTAAGATAGCCATTGAGGAAATAGACATTTTTCTTTTGTTAAATGTTCGTTTCCCAAGTTCTCTCAAGCATGAAGTTAGAACGGCAACATCCAATGATTATTTTTGCTTTTATGGAACTTGTCCAACTTGGTGTTTGCTCAAATACATTATATCATTGTTTTCGGACTGATTTTAGTCAATCATTGAATACTTCTTGTCCTTTTACAAGCAGTCTTGACAAGTTAGATATATCTGTGGCATATCTCTTTACTGAAGTTCTTTAGTGGTGATTGCATGTTGTAGTCTTCTATTTTTCTGGAAACCACAGACTTGAATACCTGATACCACAAAAATGTCATTACGTCACTGATTGCTGATGGGGGACCAGGGCTTCATTGACTTCGTTGCTCATTTGCTTGAAGTAAATCTTAGGACATATCCTTCTTCATCTGAGGCTCTGAAGCACTAATGCAATCATAGCCTTAGAAGTTCCAACCCATATCGGCTCGCACCATCTGTATTGCTCGAATTATTCATGTTGTTGGAGACTTATGAAGTATGATTTCCTTTCCCATAGAAGTTGTATTTAAGTTTTTCATATCAAGAATGTAAATTTGTTCGTATCATGTATTGGGGATATGTTCCTACTTCCTCGCTTTGTTTGATAAGCTAGTATAGGAATCTCATCACGCCTTGTTGTACATCAGGAGAATTCTTCTTTCTGTATGACGAAATATATTTCAGTATCTTCGAATATGGTAGAAATTTTTAATTAATTTTAGAGCTTTTTCATTTTTTCAAAGTCGATTGCTGATTTGTTCCAATGATTCAGAGCATGTTTAAGATTCCTAATGCCATAAAATTTGTATGATTTTCTAATGAGAATCTGAAGCAGTATGGTATAATAATTTGATAATGACTTGCCAAAGATCTCAAGGTATTGAAGTTTTCTTGATCCAACCGAAGGTAAATTTGTTTTGATAAGTTTAACATTGACCAAGGCTATCAAGAAATCAATCATCAAAAGTTTGTTGAAATTGGCATGTCTGGTGTGGAGAAACTGAAACAGGAGACCAGCAATGGATTCAATAGTCAAGGCTCTTCAGAATGAGAAAGTTGAACTGAAGTCAATTGTGTGGAAATTAATAACTGCAATATTTGAGCTAAATTGTTTTTCTGTTTTTGGTATATGAAAGATTAACTGACGGGATTTGCAAATGTATTAAAGAAATAGTTTGTGACTTTGTGCTGGTAAACGGAACCATCAAAGTCAGTTAAATTTGAGGATGAATTCTTAACGTAAAGTTTAAAAAACATAAACATTCTTAAAGTAATGAATAATAAAACGTTTATGATTTCTAGAATACAAGAGTAATACTAGGGATACAAAGAAACAAATTAAGCCTAAAATTCATGATTGTCTCTCTTTCTCTCTCTTCTTTTTCCCTTCTTTTAGGGTTTGAATTTGTCTCTTTGTATGCTTTCTCGTATCACTGTTTTAAAAACCGGACTGGACCGGTTGGTCGGATCGGTTAGACCGGGAACCAGCAGCTTCTTCGGTCCGGTTTAGGTCTCAGGGGGGTTTTTGAAATATTTTAAAATTATAAGGGCTACTTGTAATTTTATAGGGGTATTTTGGAGATATATAAAAAGTTGGGGATTAATTGGTAATTTTATTGGGGCATTTTTGGAATAAATAAAAATTTTAGGGACCAATTTGAACTTTCTTAGCGGAATTTTTGTAATATATTGAAATTTAAGAGGTTAATATATAATTTTTTAAAAATAAATAGGCTGATGTCATCGGTCCAACCGGCGGTCCAATCGTGACGGTTGACCCTGACCCGACAGCAAAACGGTTTACCCCTCCGATCCGGGTTTTAAAACAATGCTTCGTACTCTTTGTAAAGCTAGTATACTCAACAAAAATCTTTTAGCCCATTAATGAATGTTATCGTACCCTTAAAACTATATTGTTACGAAGGTGGTAAACATTATACCAAAGAGGATTATTTATGGCACTTGATGATGTTATTGCTTGTTGCGTAGATTTGATGATGAAAGGAGATGATGAAAAGGAGTTGCTAGCTCTATTGGGGGTTTGACGGTGGTGGTGACAAGTTGCATGTGTAGCCGTGTTCTTTGGAAAAATAGTTTGAACTTCTTCGCACCACATGTTTCATAGTCGTAGATGAAAGTTATTGTGAATGTTTGAAGTTGTTTCCTTCATTTCCTGCTCAAAGCCAACAAGAAGCTGACATTATAAATGTGATGCAATTGACTATAGAACAAACCATCTTCAATGTTGTTAAAGATGGTAGTTCAGTAAATAGACTGTTATACGAATCGAGCCACTTGCGAGCTGGCTCAACAGAAGCTCATCAAGACTTGACTTGAGCTTAATCGAGTCGGCTGCTCGCGAGCCGATTTTGGTTCGATTAGAGGGTAACATAGAGGGTTTTCAATCTATTGGGGGTAAATAAAATTTGCATTTATTAAGCATAATAGTTTAAAAGTTCACAAATTCCCCCATTGTAAAAAAACTAAAACACGATTTTTACCCACAAATCCCGAAATTAAAAAAGAACCCCACCC